GCCCAGACTAGAGTTTCTCTTAGCAAAATAGCTAATAGAGGAAAAGCAGCAGCATAAAAATCAGGCTTGATTCAAATGCACAGTGTCTCTCATGCTATGTTTCAATCACTAATTTGCACTGGTTTATCCATTCAAATTTATGAATAGCTCATGCTATTGATGGATGTTGGTATTGTTATACAATATGTAGAAGTTGTAAGAACAAATTTTTAAAACTTAAGAGGAAAACTACTGTAATTTATTACTCAACTTGTAGCCTGAAATTTATGTATATATTATTTTTGGTAAAATAAAAATGTAAAATATTAACAAATTGTAAACGAGACAGACATTGAAGTTGCATATGATTGGAACTGTAAAATGAAAGGCAGTATTTCTTTTGTAGTCTTACACCTATCACCCAAGAAGAAGCTTTACATATTTTGGGCTTTCAACCCCCATTTGAAGATATTAGGTTTGGCCCATTCACTGGAAATACAACTCTTATGAGGTATGAAGCTCCCACTGAGAGGTAATACCTATTTCTAAGTTAATAATGAAGTAGTATTCTATAGATATGTTCCAGAATAAGCCATGTGTCTGGCTACTGAACTCCATCATTGACTATATGCCAACCTTGCACTATGCCTGAATATCTCCAGAATTTCATTAATTCTGTCTTATAAATCTGTTGGCTTTGAGAAAATCTTCTTGTAATTTTCAGATGGTTTCGGCAAATTAATGACCACTTCCATGTGAAAGGATGTTCTTACGTCCTATATAAACCTCATGGGAAGAATAAAACTGCTGGAGAAACTGGTATGTAAACATATGGTAGATTTTATACACACATAAACCAATCCACTCCTCTTTACAAATAAACATAAATGCTTCAGGATCCATCTCAAAGATTAGCTGCCCTTACTCAAGGGATACTAGGTTAAACTTAAATCTAGACCATTACTATTAAATCTGTTTTTCAAAGGGGACAATCTGTCATCTAGGCTTCTTTTCTATGTTTATCAGTTTTGCCTCTTTTCATCTTTTTGAACTTAAAGGCATGTTGTAAATGCGAACAGTCATGGTTGGGTCTATGCTCTGTGTGTGTATGCATATTGTGTGAGGAAGACCGAGAGACACTTTCAGGAATCAACATGGAATTTCCTGAAAGGAGATGGAAGGATTCTCAAATATTTGCTGCTGTTTTTGTTGTGTACCATCGAGTAGGAACTAGCCCATAGCTGACTGACCCTCCAGCAGATTTTCAGAAGCAGTTAATCCTGCATAATAATACATAGAAACAGGATGAGACTATAAAATGGACAGAGTCATTTTATTTATAACAAAAATCAATAGAGTTGATGTTAAGGATTTTGTTTTAGGTGCCAGTTTAATAATCTCATTACTTAGGCTGTATTTTAAAATTGACACAAAAATCTATTGATTTTTACATGTAAGAAAACTTTTTCAGAGATAGTATATGTTTACTGAAGTTAAGGATTGAGGATAGAGTGGAATTGATCTCTGTTGTCTTATGCAGACTTAGAATTTATATTTCTGCTCTATACTTAGTATTTTTGGTTTTTTATTTACATTTTTATTCTTTGAAATTAAAACCCCAATTTTTAACATTTTTTATTCATAAATATTTTAAATTTTAAAAATGAAATTTTAAATTTATATAATGTGTCTTTAATCCTTTCAACATGAAGGGACAGTTTCTGTTACTCACTTTTTCTTCAGATGTTTTTTATATTGGTTTGTATACAATAATTTATGCTGTTTCCTTCATGTTCATTGTCTTTTATTGTCTTTCATTTACATTGTGTTTCATACAGTCATTCATACCATTGTATTTTATATAATTAATCACTATTGTTGTTGGTGTATACTGTGGAATTAAAAACAACACATAGCTGGCCGTCCAGCAGGTTTTCAGAGACGGTTAGTCCATCTTTCTCCCATAGCACTGTTGGTGGATTTGAACTGTGTGCCTTTGGGTTGCCAATGCAACTCCTTAACCACTAGGCTACTGATATATGCCTATTATTACCCCATCTCTTCGGTCTCCATTGAATCTTTCTCCATGTCTTCACCAATACTTCTCATTTGCCTACTAAACTCTGCTATCCTAGTGATTTTTACCCTTCTCCTTTTTCTGCCCCATTGTTCTTTTCTCCTTCCTGTTTTTAAACATTTATACACATCTAGCTAGTTATCCTTCTTTTTTTACAATACTGATCTTACGCAGTATGTGGCCTTGAGATTGAGTTAGTTTGCTCAGCATAATGCTCTCTAGACTGTCCTAAGTTATATAGTATTTTACAAAATTGATTCTTAGTGGTGCATAGTGTTCCATTGTGTGAATGTACCACAATTTCTCAGTGCATTTGTTTGCTGATGGACATTTGGGCTGTTTCCATTTTCCTGCTATTGTGAATAACACTACTATAAAAATAGGAATACTTATCTTGACTCGTGTCTATTTCAGAATGTTGTTGTTGTTGTTGTTATGTGCCGTCAAGTTGCTTGCGACTCATAGCGACCCTGTGTACAGCAGCCCTAAACCCTGCTCTTTCCTGTGCCAGTCTCACTGTCTCTGACACACCCACCCCCATTACCCCAGTTACTGAATCAATCCACCTCATAGAGGGTCTTCCCTTCCTCCACTGTCCCTCCACCCTCCCAAGTATGTTGTCCTTCTCCAAGGACCGGTCCCTTCTTGCAACATGTCCAGAGTATGTCAGACGAATCCTCAGAATCCTTGCCTCCAAGGAGCAGCCTGGTTTATCCTCTCCAGGATGAACCTGTTTGTTTTCTTAGCAGTCCATGGTACCCTCAATACTCTTCTCCAGCACCACAGCTCAAAGGCATCAATTCTCCTTCTGTCCTCACTAGTCATTGTCTAGCTCTCTGATGCATAGCAAGTGATTGCAAAGACCATGGCCTGGATTAGGCGGACCTTAGTCTCCAAAGTGACACCACTCCTCTTAAGAAGACTTTCCCATCGCAGTATGTCTTTTAATTTCCTGGCTGCTGGTGCCAAGAGTGTTGACTGTGAAGCCAAGCAAACTAAAGCTGTGAACAATCTCAATCTCTTCACCATCCATCCTGATGCTGCCAATTGGCCCAGTGGTAAGAATCTTTGTCCTCTTGACATTGAGCCTCAATCCATATTGTAGGCTGCAGTCCTTGACCCTCTGCAACAAGCGCTTCAGGTCCTCCTCAGTTTCAGCAAGCAGAATTATGTCATCTGCATATAGCAGATTGTTGATGGATCTTCCACCAATCCTTATGCCACACTTCTCATGGAGCCCAGCCTCCCGGATAATCTGTTCTGCATACAGGTTGAAAAGATATAGAGATAGGACACATCCCTGGCATACACCCTTCCCAATTTTGAACCATGCAGTGTTTCCTTGCTCTGTTCTGACAACTGCCTCTTGTTCTAAGTATTGGTTTCGCATAGCATGATCCAGTCTTCTTAAAAATAATATATGCCTTACTATATTAAATAATGTCTTCCATTTTAGAGAGTGACCCTTTTCTGACATTGTCCTGATATTCTGGGGATGCCTAACAGTAGGCTTTTCTATACAATCTTCTCTCTCTTCTGTTGGACACATGGTATTACCTGATTATTCCCTGAGTATGAACCCTCCCATTCAGTGGTTTTGTTTTCTTCTTGTATTCTTTCCTCTGTCTGGAGTGTTGAAACCCTTCTTTGAGTTCTATCTTGATTCCTTAAATCAGATATGCTCTTTTCCCTTTCACTTCTGTACCTCTACTATGGCATTGCCTTGGCCTACTTTATATTAAAGTTCTTTATGGAACAAGTTCAAAGAAGGTATCTTTTGTTTGTAGTAGCCTGTATCATTAGTAGGTGCTCAGAAATCACTGAGTTAAATTAAATTTTCCTCTCAGCAAGCCAGTAGCTCTTAAATGTGTTTCCTGGACCATTATCATCTTATAACTTGTTAGAAATGCAAATTCCTGATTTTCTACTCAAGACTTCTTGGATCATACACTTCAGGGATGAGTGCTAGTATCTATTCTCTTATCAAGCCCTTCTGGTACAGTGTGAGAACTACTTTTGGCATTTTCCTATGGAGGTGGTATATAAACTTTTTATCAAGGCTTTGCTTTCTGAATGCACCCTAACCATATACTCTTGTACTTATTCCACACTCAGTGTGTAAATTCAGGTATTTGTTTGAATTGTGCTCACTTAATCCCTAGGAATTCTCTGAATGTTCGCCTGGGCTGATCAGAGTGAGAGCTAAACTCATCCATTCTCTATTTTACCGCATTACCTCTGCTTTGCTTGTTTTTATGGAGCAGCCTGCCTTATACATACGTGTCATTGCCGAAAGAGTTACATGTTTGTTTGTTTTTTTTAAAAGCAAAGATTGAAGATTATGGATTTAAATTAGAGTTTGGCACATTGACCAGCCTCCTTTTTAAAAGAAAATTTTATTGGAGCACATCCATACCCATTAAGTTACATATTGCCTAGTTATTTTTATGCTGCAAAGGCACAGTTGAGTAGTGGGAGTCATGCTTGTTACCCATAAGCCAAAAATATTCATTATCGGTCCTTTAAAGTTTGCCAGTCCCAAGCGAGCTCTGGTGGCCTACTGGAGAGAAGCTGCACTGCAATCCCTAAGGTACGCGGTTCAAATCCACCAGATGCTCTGCTGGAAAAGGAGGAACAATCTCCTCCTGTACCAGTCAGATCTGATTTGAGGCTACAGACACAAATAATAATAAGAAAATTAAAATTTTTTAAAAAAATGGTTTTTCTAAAGTTTGCCAGTCCCTAATCGAAATTACTCAGGTTGTTCTCTGTCTTGAAGTTAGGATAACAAGACATCTTTCAGTATCAGCTAACTCTGTTAAGCCCATAATTGTTACCCTATAGAAGGAAAAAGCTCCTTCCTACCTAGAAAACCAGGATATGAAGAGTATTTGCAGCAGATACAGACATTTAAGAGGAGGGAGCACACTTATCTCATTGACCTCTGAAATTTGGATGTATTCCAGGACCAATAGTAATTATTATTTGTAGTCAAAATTAGAAAGTCAACTGCTTTGTTATGTTTGACTTAACTCATTGTCTCGAGTTGAAACTGAATAACAGCTGACCTTCCACTGATTTTCCAAAGCTGTAACTTGTATGGGAGGGGTGGGAGGGGACACTGCTCATCTTTCTCCCATGGAGCCACTGGTTTTCGAACCACCAGAGAGGTGCAGCCTTTGTCTTAGTAGCTCAATGCCCTACGCATTAGAAGGAAAGTGTGAAAGCCGTGAAGATTTTTATTGAAATATAATGAGTTCTTTTATTAAAAGCTGAAGTTATTTGAGAAACATTTTTATTTCGTATTTTTACAGTTATAAAGATTTCAAGAATTTTCCTAGGCTAATTATTTAAATAAGCATCTTTTAGTAATTATCAAATTTGTAAGATGCTTAAATCCATATAATATTTTTGTTCCTGCTCTTGGAACCTATTAACAACTGAATTCATTTAGGAAAAAAATATTGACTCATATTTTTATTCTTAGCATCTTCATTTAGGTTTGCACTTGGGTGGTAGATTTTAAGTTAACTTGGCAGTTAAACAAAAAAATTTCTGGAAGACTTACTCATCATTTGTCTTAATGGAATAGAGGTTTTAGTTGAAAAGGTTTTGCAGTGGAGTAATGCTGTGGTGATAGGTTGTGAAGTGAAAGTCTGTGGGAAAGGTGCAGTTGAAGCCTTGAGGAAGGAACTTACCCAGTGTGTCAGGGCATGTGTGGTGGGCTTATATAAGACTTGTCACTGCTACATCTTTTAAGCATGCTATTTTCTCTGGTCTTCAGCTACTTCATTGTCCAGAAAACCAGTTATTATAACTGGCTTGTAAGCTTCTTTCTACTTCATGTATTTTTAGAATTCCCAGTTTTAGTGGGCTAGTTGTTAATGAATAATTTCATTTCCCCCAGTATATACAGTTTAATGAAACCTCAGTTAATGGCTTTAGGGACTAAATACTGACAAAAATCTGTTTTTCTCATAGTAATACTTTGAAATTACCAAAAATATAGTTATGAGAAATATATAAGAAGAGGCTACTACCAGTGTATCTCCTTAGAGAAATTCTTGTCTAAATATAGTGTGTGATGCTCTTCTAATCTGTAGAACTTTTGTAGAAAGTTTAAGTATGAATTAGTAAAGAAAGTTTACCTTTTGGGAACTTGTTTATTATTTAGGATTTATATTTATTGCCTTCAGATAGAGGTGTATACAATACAGAGATTGTACAAAATGATAAGTGTATTCTGAAAAGAAAAGACTATCATTTAATTTAAAAAATTTCTGCTTTAAAAATATATTTTATAAAGACATCTTGGTGTAGTAGTATATGTATTTAAACAAATATGTTCATTTTGAGGTTCTTACTAACCAACTGTAGTGATAGCTATTTATAGCCAGAGAATGAATGCTAGTTTTTATATAATAATTACATTTTATAGACAAGTATGTATATTATTTGAAGATCTTGGTAAACAAGAAAATACATCAATTATTTAGTTTGCTATTAAGCATACCTGAATTTCCATTTAAAAAGTTAAATGTAATATCAAGGGTTTTTTGTACTTTTCAATAGCTTCTCGTTTTTCTTATTTCTTGTTATTATGTGTTGTCAAATCTCCTGCAACCCATAGCGACCATAGTAGAGCCTGACCTTTCCAGACCCAGACTCACTGATTCCAACACACCTAACCCCATTTTCCCAGTTACTGTATCAATCCATCTCATCCAAGGTCTTCCTCTCTTGTGTCATCCCTCTACCCTTCCAGACCCTTCTCCATCACTACAACTCAAAGGCATTGATTGATTCTTCTATCATCTTTAGTCATTGTTCAGCTCTTTGATGCATAGCAAGTAATTGTGAAGACCATGGCCTGGATTAGGCGTACCTTAGTCTCTAGACTGACATTGTTGCTTTTCATTACTCTGAAGTAATCCCTGACAACAGATTTTCCCAGTGCAATTTGATGGCCCTACTCTGTCCTGTAGGTTTGCTGTGCATCTGAATTGGCTCAGTTGTTGTTATATGCTGTCAAGTTGTCTGCAACTCATAGAGACCCTATGCATAGTATCTCTGAACCCTGACCTATCCTGAGCCAGTCTCACTGTCTCTGACATGCCTGCCTCTATTATCCTAGTCACTGTGCCAATCCATATCATCCAGGTTTTCCTCTCATGGGTAATCCCAGTGTATTACAGTGCTATCTTTTCTGTCTTTAAATCCTTTACTAGTCCTTTGTGTTAAGTATAGATAATACTTTATGTCCCTCAAACTTTGTTCATTTTTGTTTTTTAGCTTCAGGGGCCTTGGCAAAGTTAACTCATGGATTGAAAGATGAATCACTGGCTTATATCTATCATTGCCAAAATCATTATTTTTGTCCCATTGGCTTTGAGGCAACCCCTGTTAAAGCTAATAAAGCATTCAGGTAAACTTTTAAATATTTTGTATAGACATTTCATGTGGAAAAAATGTTCTTGAAAGCATTTAAGAAATAAAGTCTCATATAATTGGGAGAATTGATGGTTTTGCTTCTTATACATCAAGTTAGACTGCTGAAATCCTACATTTTTGAAACATTTTAGCTTACATTTGTACAGTTTGATACTTAGCCCTTTATCATAAAATATTTGCAAAAAACTTTATATCCTGTCTGTGCACTCATCAAGTGGAAAATGTGAGTAAATTAAAAAGCATCTTCCTTTTTCATAGTGCAAAACAGGATTTGTCAAGGTTTTCTTTTGTTCTGGCTATAAGGAAGCTCAAGAGTGAATTTTCATTTTTAATCCTAGGAGTTTTTTTAATCCTGTGGTTATTTGCGTTTTTTCTTTTGTTAGTCTAGAGTTTATATTATATAAAATATTTATGTTTATAATTACATTTGTAACTTTTTTTTAAAGAGACAGTCTTCCAGGTAAGAGAGCGTGACTAAGTGTAATACTTTTCACACACCTTGGGAAATTTTCTTTGTATTGTGCTAAGGTGATACCCTCATTGAGAAGAGTGTCAGCAGAAGCAATGAGTACAGATGGATGGTCATGATATCCCTGCTCAGCTGAGTTTCTGGTGTATTCACATCTGGAATCATGGCAGCCGTGCCCTTTCAGTGACTAATCTCTTAGGGGAGGTCCAGTGGTCAGGTTGAGAAAGCATAGCTTGGTCATCTAGAGTTAAGATGGGTTCTTTGAGGTTGGGTCCTTGTGGCCTTTGAGTGGATGAGATCCTGAAACAGGCAGTAGTGTCTTGGAACAACTTCGAAGCCACACATTGTATTTTTGTTGAGTAAAGACTAAGACTCATTACTTTTGTTCTTTTGTCTTTGGGACAACCCCAAGAGGAGGAATGCAGCCATTTAATTTCTCCAAGGTCTGATATCCACTACTCATCTCTTTTGAAGTGAAGTTTTTAGTGTGGCATACTGTATTACTCCTACAGTTTTATCCTGCAAGTTTACCTTTAGATGTTGTTGTTGTTATATGCTGTCGAGTTGCCTGCAACTCATATCGATCCTGTCTGTGTATAATAGTCCTAAACGCTGCTCTATCCTGTGCCAATCTTATTGTCTCTGACAAACCTACCCCTGTTACCCTAGTCACTCAGTTATTTTGTATCAAATATAAAATGGGATTTTACTCTTAGATATTTTATATTTTCTAGAGAATTTCTCATATATGCCATTCCTGAGAATCATCAGATAGGCTTTTAAAAAATATGTAAATCTGTGGTCTCTACCCAAGACCTACTTGCATTAGGATTTTCAAAGATAGCATCTGGCATTGGTTTATTTTTTTGGTTTGTTTGATTATTATTTTTTTTTTAGAATTGCACAGGGGAATCACCACTTTAATATTTTCTTTTGGGGGATCCCATTTGAAATTTCAAATGCACATTGAAAGTAGATGAGTAGGTGAGGAATGCTAGTATTGTGATAGGAGTTTTTTCCCTTCCAAGTATCTGAGTATACTAGCCTTAGATTTTGTTATAGGAAACTAAGACCTATGTATAATTTAGGCTTTCTCTTTACTAACCTTTAAAGGTTGGCTCAGGCCTAAACTTTAATACCTATGCTAGCTTAAAGAATGCCATTTTTTAATAAATTATATTAAAATATAATTGAAGCAATATACTCAAGGGAGTAAATGACCTTTACTAAGTATACTGTGGATGTATTTTATGTTTAGCAGGGGTCCCCTCTCATCACAAGAAGTAGAGTATTGGATCTTAATTGGAGAATCAAGTAGAAAACATCCTGCTATTCACTGTAAAAAGTATGTAAACGGTTTTGTTTTGTGTTTCTTTAGTTGAGGTATGACTTACAGATAAATGTACAGATTTTAATTAAATAGTTGAGTTTTTATTATAATGATAAAGTTTCTTGACTTTTTGGCCACTGACTAGAAGAGATCCATATTTGTTCCCATTCCCAAAAAGGGTGATCTAACAAAGTGCAGACATTATCAGGTAATTTCTGCATAGCACATGCAAAGGAAATCTTGCACAAGATTATTTTAAAAAATGCCTGGAAAAGTCCATTATCAAGGAACTGCCAGAAATTGAAACTGGATTCAGAAGAGGCTGTGACATGAAGGCTGTCATTGCTGATGCCAGATGGATCTGGCTGAAGACAGATAATACTACAGAAATGTTTACTTGTGGTTGCTTTATTGACTATGCAAAGGCATTTGACTGTGTTGATTGTAATAAATAATGGCTGACATTGTGAAGAATGAGAACCCCAGAACTTTATTATACTCGTGTGAAACCTCTGCATCGACCAAGAAGCTGTTGTGTGAACAGAATAAAGGAGTACTGCAGGTTTAAAATCAGGTGTGCATCAGTTTTGCATCCTTTTGCTATACCTCTTAAATCTGTGTGCTGAACAGAGAATTCAAGGAACTGGACAACATGAAGAAGAACGTGGCATCAAAATATGAGGATGACTAATCAACAGCCTGCGCTATGCAGAGGACACACCATTACTTTGCTGAAAGTAAAGAAAATCTGAATAAGATCAAAGACTATTGAAAAAGATCAAAGATTGAAACCTTCAATATGGATTACATGGTCATCATTATGAAAACAAAACCCTAAGAAAACCCTCCCACTAGACCAATAGGCAACGTCATGATAGATGGAGAGAAGATGGAAGTTGTTAAATGATAATAATATTAAGTTAGATCTCTGTTAGGTCTCTGTGGTAGATGCTTTTGTTTATTTGGAACTCTGGTGGCTAATGGCAATAAGCTGCCCTGTAAATCCAAAGGCACAGGATTGAGGCCACCAGCTGCCCCGTGGGAGGAGGATGGGCAGTCTTCTCCCATGTGATTAACTGCTTCTGAAAACCCACCAGAGTCAGCTATGGGTCTCTTCCTAATCTGCACCACACTATAACAGCTACAACAGTTCTATTTATGTGGCATATATCTCCATATATCCTCACCTTTAATTTGTTAAAAATACTTTACGGATAAGTTTTGGATTTTTTTTGTTAAAAATTTTTCCTCAGTATTTATGTTTTTTGATGCTATTGTAAATTGAGTTGGACAAAAATATTTCCTGGTAGTACACAAAGCTGCAGTTCATGTTTTTAACATTGACCTCAAATCTTACATCTTTACCAAATTCAAACATTAGTCATAGTGACTATTTTGTCATTCCCTGAATTTTCTACATACTCATCATGTCTGAAAATATTTATTTGCTAAGTTTTAGAAAGAATAAAAAAGAAATATGTAATGTTTTTAATGTAATCTGTAGGATATCCTCTGATATTGTTAGTGCCGCTGAGTTGACAACTCATAGTGAGCCTGTGAACATCAGATCTGAGCCATGCCCCACCCTATGCCATCCTCCCCATCTCTGATACTCTTGAGCCCATTGTTACACTCACTATGCCAATCTGTCTTTTCAGAGTCTCCCTCTTTTTCTGACCCTCCACCTTTTCCAGTATAATGCCCTTTTACAAGGACTTGCTCTGCCTGACAGTAGCCCCAAAGTGTATGAGACTTCAGTTTCACCATCCTTGCCTCTAAGGAGCATCCTGGTTGCCTGTTTTCTGAGATACACATATTTGTTCTTTTGCCATTCCATAAGATACTCAGTGCCCTTCTCCAGCCCCACAGTTCAAAGGCATCAATAAATCCTCTGTCATCTTTACTCATTGTCCACCTTTCAGGTCCATAGAAAATATTTGATAAAATGTGGCTTAGATCAGTCACACTTTAGCCTTTGAACTGGCATTGTTGCTCTTTAGCACTTTGGAGAGGTCCTTGACAACAGGTTTCTTTCAGTGGAACATGTCTTTTGATTTTTTGACTACTGGCACCAAGGGTGTTTTTTGTGGATCCAAGTAAGACCAAATCCTTGACAAAATCAGTCCTTTCACAATCTTTTTCATAGGAAAACCTGCCATTTTAAAACTGCAAACATTGGCAGTAGTTGAGAAAAAAAAACCACACCAGATTTTTCATAAAAACAAGATTTTGTTCGATAACAAACCAGAGTAAAAATAAATAGATAGATAGACAGATAGCTAGATAGCTAGCTAGATAGCTAATTGTAGTGGCTTGTTAAGTGCCATGGAGTAGACGCCTAGTCAGAGCAGCCCTGTGTACAGCAGATCAAACTCTTGCCTGATTCTGCCCTAACCTGCAATCTCTGCTGTCCTTACTCCTGTTGTTGCAGTCAATGTAGCAATTTAGTCTTGTGAAAAATTTCATTAGAGTTACATTTTAGTCTTAAAATTGCACTTTGTTCTCTTTCTTCACTATAGATGGTCAGATATTGTTACTGATCTAAATACTCAAAATCCAGAATATCTAGATATCCGACACTTGGAGAGGGGCCTACAGTACCGAAAAACAAAGAAGGTAAGAACACCATTGTGTCTGGACTTTTTTACTGTATTTTTCTCAGTGTTCTTTAGGTAAATAGCACAAACCCTAGTTCAGACCATATTAAAGAGAGATTTAAAAAGAAAAGGCCAGAGGTTTTATCCTTGAAACTCCAGGCAAGGAATATAGCCTGGGCTCATAAGGAATTGCTACCAGGTATTAGAATGATGGGCTAAAAACTAGTCTTTCTCACTCTTTTGGGCTTAATGTTTTACCTTCTGAAGATGATTCTCCTTTTATTTATATTTAGGTTTCCTTTTCAGGTGAACAGTTCAGACTGAGGCTGACTTGCATCAAGTCCCATTGTATACTCCTGGGAGAGGGTTAGCAAGATTTACTTAGCTTGAGATGAATACTCACCATGATTCACATTAACTGTGGCCATGACGCAGAGTCATATGTTACAAATAAGGCTGCTGAGGGCAGTTGATGTAGAAAGTAGATACTGTGGACTGCCATAACTCTACTAATATGGAGAATATACAGGAGAGAGATAATGAGCTGTCGTCCTGGTGTTTAATCAGATGGGAAAATGTGTATGAGTGATTAAGAGGCATGTGAAAAATACGTGAGCGCACTCTTATAGTTTGCAAAAGCTTGGAAAGATGTGGGGTAATATACTTGGATGATATTTGAAAGATTAACTCCTAGTTTGAAGTAGGTGAAAGGGGAGAAGTTCAGAGGAACAGAAGTAAGTATAATTAATTGGACTTCATTTTTTTCCCCTTAGGTTGGGGGGAATTTACATTGCATCATAGCATTCCAGAGACTTAATTGGCAAAGATTTGGCCTTTGGAACTTTCCATTTGGAACCATCAGACAAGAATCACAACCTCCACCCCATGGCCATGGAATTTCCAAGTCTGAGAGTGAAGACAACATCTCCAAGAAGCAGCATGGACGTCTGGGCCGGTCTTTCAGTGCTAGCTTCCATTCAGACTCAGCGTGGAAAAAGATGTCTAGTATTCATGAAAGAAGGAACAGTGGCTACCAGGGTTACAGTGATTATGATGGAAATGATTGACTGTGCTGCTACGAAACAGCCGGTGAATACAAGTGATTGGAATGTACACCTGATATACACATCTGTATTAAGAAAGGGGGAGATTTTAGTAAGTCTCCGTTGAGTATGAATAGATCTTGTGGTACAAACATAATCTTAGAGTTGTCCAGTAAATAAGCTTGTATATGATTATGATGGATGCTCTTAGCTATATGAACAGATAAGCACAGTTTATTCTCTTTTTAAAGGTAAAAGTAATAGAGACAACCAGGATAAAAAAAAAAAAACAAAAAACCTTTTTTTCGCAAAACCCAAGTGAAATATGACATCTATCTAAAAAAAGTAAAAAATAAATTTACGTAGTAGTATTGAGACATGAAATACGCATGAAATGATTTAATTCTCTAGACAGATTTTAATCCTAAAATCAAGATGTTTATGTACTATCTGCCCTTTTTACGAATTTGGGGCTGTTAATGTAAAGTTTCATTCTCTTTAAAAGCTCATTTAAAATTATATTGAGTCTAGTTCTTTTATTTGTAGTGGTATCTTGCCTGCCTCATCTGATTTGCTGGTTAAGTGTCTCAGGATTCTCAAACAAGAGGCAAAAAGAGAAGACTCAAACCAATTTTTTTCTGTTGGTGCAAAAGGGTAACTTAGTGCATTGATTCAGGATATTCTTGACTTTATTCACTAGGTATGTCACTGTCAAATACTGATAAGAGCATCAGCTCTTGAAAGACTTCTGTAAATCCAGAATAAGCTTTGTGTGTCCCCACCCCAGGAGTAGGGTCAAAGAGTAAGGAAGTGTGATGTTTTTATATCCATGATAATATGTGAAATAAGATCTTACATTTGATTGGCCCCTTGATACAGAATCATACATACTGTGATAAGTGCATTAAGATACATTAGGAATGCCATTCCAAGTCACTCAGAGGACAGCTATCCATGTTCCATTTTCAAACTCTGAGCTGTTTGTTTTATTTTAAAACTGTTAAAAATTAACTGCTTAAAGTGAGTGTTAAGTTATTAGAAAGTGTAGATTTCATGTGTTTGAGCTCTCTAATTGTAGATTGTTTTCTGCTGCTAACCTGTGATTCAAAAAAGACTAGAATGTCTTATTTTTTTCATTTCAGGGGATTGTTCAAGGATTCAAATCAGTAACTTGGTTTTTACAGGGTGCTGGAATGTAGGTAACCATATTGCAATACACCTCAAAAAGAAGGATCAGATTTTATTTTTAAAATATTTTCCATTTTTCCTCTTTTGACTTTTATATCCATTTATTCATTCATACATGCCATACCTACAGAAGAGGTTATATATTACAAAATGGGCAATTTTCTGAAGAGACTATTTTGCTTGAAATGCAAAGGATTGAAAGAGATTTGTAGGTTGTTGATTTTGTTATTTCATACTGGGGCTTTTAAAAAGTTTTCATCAAATAAAGTTTTGTTTTCTACTTTTATTCATGTGAATGTTTTTGAGTCTTTGTTTTAAGTATGGAATACTCTTATAATTTTGTTTGAAGAACACGACAATTTGTTAATTCCCTTTATCTATCTTACAATCATTGACACAAGAGTCAGTGAAACAATGACTATAATTTTAGATTATGAAAGTTTTATGATAGGAAATAGAAATTTAAATTATGTTGAATCAAATGAAGTTGGCATTTTTATAGGTCAAACATGATTGGATAAGTCAATTGACTATTTTATTCAAGGACGGTATGCAGGAAGAGTGGTAAGAAAAGAAGACTAATTTATGCACAGTAAGAAAAATGGCAGGATAGCATCTAGAAAAGAATGATGCATTACAGACCATGGTCTGTATTTATAAGTGTTTGTAAATATGATCAGGCAAGGTTTTAATTTGTTGTTCAGAGGGTCGCTATGAGTTTTGGTCAACTTATTGGCACCTAACAATAACAATAATAGCTTGACTTAACAGTATTGGTAAGTTATTGAAGGTAGACTGAGATTTCTAAAGATTACATTTACCAAAAGTTTGTTACTGCAAACTTAAAAGATCAGTAAAATCCTTATTATATATTTGATTTCTTGGTCATGTTTTTGGAGATCTTCATAGAAGTGTGGAGGCCAGACTTTGGTTCTTTACTTACTAATTACAGTTTTTGAACAAGTTGAAGTTCATTTTTCTTATAAAGATGGCATAGAAAAATTAACTTGCTCAAAAGTCATAATTCTCCATAACTATTCAAGTCTGTATATTAAATAAATCATTGAAGAAGCTGGATAATTTGAAAAACAGTTTGACATCAAGATTGGAAGAAGACTCATCAAAAAACCTGCACTATGCAAAAGGCACAGCCTTGCTTGCTAAAAGTAGAGAGAACTTGAAATGCTTACTGCAAAAGATCAAAATCTGTGGCCGCGGCAGCGCGTAGGGCCTGAGCTGGAGAATCCCGATGTGGATGCGGGCAGACAATGCCCAGCATGGAGCAGGTGCCAGACTTCAGCCTGTAGCCATCAGGGTTGACTATCTGCTCGTCCAGGACCGAGGGACCCATGGCCATGTTCTCTGAAGCGAAGAGAATCTCTTCTGGGTTGAGTTTCAGATCAAGCCAGTGGTTTCTCCTGGTTAAGATAAAGAGCGCTGGATGTTTAACAGTGAAGATGACATTGTCTTCGTTAACATCCTTGAAAGTATGACTGTTAAGAAGACACGTGGATGTGTGGCATGTGGAAATACATGTGCAGAAAATCTGTCATTCTTTAAACTTCCACCCCACAACGGGCACATTCTGCTCGATAATCAAGTTTGAAAATCCCCAAGAATTAAAGAGGCTCTTGTTGCTGGTGTCCGATCATAGCCCTTTGTGTTATAGCAATATGTTCTGCAATGGCCATGATTGACTCTTTATTGTGGTATTGGCCCTTACATACCACTGGAGGAAGTGTGAATTTCATTGTGTTGATTAATTGGACAATCGTGATTCTTTATAATTACTTCAGTGTCATGTTTGTGGGGCCTGGCTTTGTCCCTCTGGGGTGGAAACCGGAAAATTCTCAGGATAGTATGTATCTCCAGCATTGTAAAGTCTGCCAAGCATATAAGCACTTCGTCCACATCACTGCAGAAAGGGCAATAGATGTGTTATGAAGATGGACCATCATTGTCCTTGGATTAACAACTGTTGTGGTTACCAAAATCATGCATCGTTTACATTGTTTCTGCTTTTAGCCCCACTCAGTTGTATTTATGCTGTTTTTATTTTTGTTATGATGATATACACACAGCTTTATAACAGGCTCTCCTTTGGCTGGAACATGGTGAAGATGGACATGAGTGTGGCCCGGAGGGATCCTCTTCCAATCGTTCCGTTGGAATTAGCTGTGTTTGCTACCACCTTGTTTGCCCTGGGATTAGCAATCAGAACCACCATCGCTGTTGGGATGCTGTTTTTCATCCAGTTGAATATAATTCTCAGAAACAAAACATCTATGGAATCATGGATTGAAGAGAAGGCTAAAGATCAAATTCAGTATTATCAGCTTGATGAAGTCTTTGTTTTTCCTTATGATTTGGGAAGTAGACGGAAGAATTTTAACCAAGAGTTTACATGGTCAGGGGCCCTGGAAGGAGATGGCTTGGAGTGGCCAGTCAGACACAGCTGCCACCAGTACAGCTTGAACATAGAACAACTGAAACAGAAAGCAGACAAGAGAGTGAAAAGTGTTCACTTTAAAGTAATTCAAGATTATAGTGGGGCCTGCTGTCCTTTGAGTAAAGGAATCAAAACATTCATAAGCCCTGGTATTGAGCCTCGAATCAGGCTGCAGAAGGGGGAGTTCGTTTTAGCTACAAGAGGCTTATGATACTGGTTGGAGACAAAATTCTTGATGATTCCTTTGTAAAAGGTGTTTCAAGAGTACGGGGCTGGTTCCCTCGAAACTGTGTGGAAAAATGCCCTGTGATGTTGACACAAATCTGGCCCCTGAGGGCGAGAAGAACAGATAGGCACTGCTGAAGTAAAATTATTCTTTACGCTCCTCCATTACTTGAAAATTGTACATATTACTAAAGAATTATGCAATGAGCCTACTCTGGTTAAGGTGTTCTTTTTTTTTTTTTTTTTTTTAGGGCCTTCCGGGAAAACCCGGAAGACCTGCTAGACAAATTCAAAAAGAGCTGTAACACTTGGTTAAGGTGTTCTTTTTCTCAAAGGTGCCCTAGTACCAAGACTTAAATCTCTTGGTTACCATTTTGAAATGGAGAAGCCATCCTGCATATGCCTTTGACTCCCTCCCACTCCTCGCCTTCCTCCCCCACAGAAGGGAAAGCACCTCTCCTAGAAAGTCAGTCGCGTTTTCTCTAGGGTTTCTCTCCTCAGCACTGCACACTATGGACCTCACCAGATGTAGATTTTCAGGGCCATCTGCATGTGATGCTGTTATTCAGTCTGGATTTTTTTGTAATATTCTAGACACTGTAGAATTATGTTGTTTGATTCAATAGAAGCTCAGATTTTGTTACCTATCTTTTAATAATGCTGATTTTTTTCAAATAAAGATCAAGTGTTCAGTATATATATATAAAAAATCAAAATCTGTAGACTTTAATATTTATTACTACATCTCAGCAAGAAAACAAAACTCCTCACTGTTGAACCAGTAGGCAGCATTGTGGTAGTTGGAGAAAAGCTTGAATTTGTCAATAATTTCATTTTACTTGGATCCACAATCAGCTACCACGGTGGGAGTAATCAAGAGATCAAAGACATAAGTGCATTGGCAAAATGTGCTGTACTTGAAAGTAGGACAGTAAATAAAGATGACTGAAGAGAATTGATGTCTTAGAGGTATGGAGTTGGAGAAGAGTATTATATATCCCAGGGACAGCCAGAAGAACAAACAGATCTGTTTGGAAAGAAACACAACCAGGGTGCTTTTTAGAGACAAGCTTGGTGAAACTTGGTCTCACGTACTCCAGGTTTGCTGTGAGGAGAGGCCACTCCTTAATAAAGGATATCATGTTGGAAAAGGTGGAGGGTCATAGATCCCCAAGAAGATGGCTT